GCGGCCGGGTGGGGGCGAGGGAGGAGGAACTCCTCTGGGAGGGGCTCGGCCCTGGCGCGGCGGGAGTTGGGGCACGGTGTGGAGGAAGAGCGGGGAGCAGCCTCTGCACCTGCTCGTTTCCTGGGGCATTGTTTCCTGGGGGACGCAGGGCACAGAACCAGGGTGGATGAAGTGAGTCCAGGGTGCATGCACGAGGGCTGGCGTGCAAAGGGCCGGGCAGCCCCAGCGCCCAGCACAGGAGGGGCGGCGCAGACTAGTCCAGCTTCTGAGGAGCTGGCCGTACCGAGTCAGCGTGGAACCAGAGGAGATGTAAATATGTCAGATGCGAAATAGAGCGGGGGCATTTAAGTATAACCTGGCTGTCTCTTAGCTTTTGTGCCACATTCTCTTGTGGAGTCACGACAGGAGCAGAGAAGCTCCTGGGATCTGTATTTCAAGTGCCAGAGGGCCCTCCTTCCATTGTCCTTCACCTCACCCTCCAGCCTGTTTCAGTCAAAGCACTCGGGCGACCCCCACTTTCCCTTTCTTGTTGGGGTTAATAGAGGAAGCCATGACATTTCTGGGTCCTCTCCCCTCTGTAGAGACCTGGTATGCTGCCAGGCAGCCGAATGACACCTCAGGGACCTTCCATGGGACCCCCTGGCTATGGGGGAAACCCCTCCGTCCGACCTGGCCTGGCCCAGTCAGGGATGGACCAGTCCCGAAAGAGACCTGCGCCTCAGCAGATCCAGCAGGTCCAGCAGCAGGCGGTCCAAAATCGAAACCACAAGTAAGATGACCTATGGGGGTGGGGTTGGAGGGAGGAGGTATGTGAGGACACAGGTGGTGGAGCACCTAAACGGTGAAGAGATGGTGCTGCGTCAGCTTACAGTGCTCATTCTGGAGAATTCTTCATAGGATGGGAGGGGGTGGGGGGGTTAGGAAACGTGCCTTTGATTGGTAGTCCCCTCACTTTACTATAAGTGAAGGTGCTGCAGCCTGTCATCGTGTTCTGACTAGTTCATCCCAACCTGATAACAGTGTTTATTCTGAACAGTGCAAAGAAAAAGAAGATGGCTGACAAAATTCTACCTCAAAGGGTGAGTCTGGGTGGTAAGGCTTGAGGGTGTGGTGACTTTGAGAACAGAGATACTCAGTTCTAGATCCCAACGCTGTCTTTCTGTTCCTAAGATTCGTGAACTGGTACCAGAATCCCAGGCCTATATGGACCTCTTGGCATTTGAAAGGAAACTGGACCAGACTATCATGAGGAAACGGCTAGATATCCAGGAAGCCTTAAAACGTCCCATCAAGGTAACACGGAAGAACAAGCTCTAGGCAGAGAGCCAAAGGAGAGGACTTGAACCCCTAACAGGCCTAGGATGAGAACTCAAAGGCACAGCACAGCTCTCTTTGGCATTTAAATTACATCTCTCCCTTCCGCCCACAAACTGAGAATTATATTAGAAGCCTAAGAACAGAACAGCAAAGGGGAGGGGCTGATCTCTCTTGCACCAGAAATATACCCTGTCTATGTTTTTGCTGTATCTGTTCTGCCACCTTGGGAAACTGGCACTTTTATGACTTTGTGCACCTGGTATCCTGATGTCTGCACTTGTATTCAAGCCAGTACAGTGGCCTGTACTAGATTAATCCATCCACCCCAGGGACTCGGTAGCCACTCTGTTAGGAGTAATTTTAGGGCTTGGGGAGACCCTTGTTGGCAACTTCAAACTATTGAATCCCCACCATCAGTTTTGTTTCTGCCTTCCCTCAGCAAAAACGAAAGCTGCGAATTTTCATTTCTAACACTTTCAATCCGGCCAAGTCAGATGCCGAGGATGGGGAAGGGACGGTGGCTTCCTGGGAGCTTCGGGTAGAAGGACGGCTCTTGGAGGATGTGAGTTCCGGGTCCCCCATGGTGGCCATCGAGGGTGGGAGCTGCTGGGAACAAGCAGTGTAGTGGGGTTGGCAGGCAGTCTGGCTGGTGTTCACAGCTCCCGTTGGGAACAGCAGGGAGAGGGTCACTGTGTTCCGTGCACTGAGGGACAATGGTTCTTTGTGTCTGGCTCCAGGGCTTGGCCCTCTCTTGGTATCATATCAAGAACCTTATTGTCCTGGGACTTGATTTGTTGTGTGCCTCCCCCGATGCTGCTGCCCGCTGGGCTTACCAGTATCTGCAGATTACTGAGTTAAGGTTTCTTCTTTTCTTTTTTAAGTCAACTGAGGTTGCACTTAACATTTGCAGCCATTACTTCTCCAAGTTACAGAGGTTATTCGACTTCGGCGGTGGCATCTCCGTTTCCCTTACTTTCTATGGAGATGCCTCACAGTTTAAATGGGGTATATTTCTGACAGGCTGGCTGCTTCATGGGGTACATCAGCTGACAGGTGGTAGCCTAAAACTTCCCACCCAGCACCTCCTTGGGGAAGTTCACCTTTCATTCCCTTACGCTCTCTGGGTTTCTATTTTTAGCTGTTCACAAGCAAGCTAATTTTAATCCATTTTTCAGGAGAATCAGGGCTCATTGTCAGAGCCTCTTCGATATAGGTCCAGCCCCTCTGCCGGTGGTGTCATTCCATCCAAATAAAGCTGGTTTTGTTCTGGCTGCTTATTGCCCAACTCACTTCTCCTCTAAAGTCAGACTTTTCTCCATTCGTGTGCACTTTGTTATGTGCAATGCTTTGACGTAGTCTGTGTGTCACTTCCCCTGGGGAGACAAGGTAGGCACGTCAAGGCCCTGTGTGTGTTAGGGGCTACTTCAGGATTCTCTTGCTGCCATGACTGGTTGTCACTCGCAGACACCTGCCATTTCCTGAGACTCAGTTTTGTAGTTTTTTTTTCCCCTTTGCTATTGTCGGTTCCCTTTTTTTTTTTTTTTTTAAAGATGTGTTTATCTGTGCATACAGAACTGAGGTACAAACCAGAGGTACAGGAGCAGTGAGAGGATTCACCAGAGACAGAGCAGGGAGCAGAGCAGGCAGATCGACGTAGTACACTGCTGAAGGGAGCTGTGGGCTGGTCAGGAGAGGTCTGCTGCGCCGTGTGGGTCACCTCCCAGGGCCAGGATAGAACTCATGCTGAAGTGGCTTTAGCTTCTTAGTGCTGTGCTTTAACCCGCTGCGCCACCAGGGTGGGCCCATGGGTTCCCTTTTTATGAGACTTTCTGTTGGAGAATTTTCTTCTGGCCATCTCTAACATGATCTCTCTTCTCTCTTCTAGTCTGCCTTGTCCAAATACGATGCCACCAAACAAAAGAGGAAGTTCTCTTCCTTTTTTAAGTCCTTGGTGATTGAACTGGATAAAGATCTGTATGGTCCAGACAACCATCTGGTAGAAGTGAGTAGTTCTGCCTTCTAGATTTTGTCTCGATGACAGGAGTTGTGATGGTCCTGGGTACCAGCATATAATGTCTAGCGAGTGGGGAGGTACAAAGGGTTACCCCAAGGTTTAAGGTGCCACCATTGCAGTATGCACATTGATCTCCAGGTGGCACTAGCTGTGTTCAGTTCTTGTGCATTTAGACCCAAAAGCTCTTACAGCCTAATTTATCCCACCTTTTAAATGTTTCAGTCCTGTTTGCTGCTCCTGCTTTGAAGGGGATTTCTTGTGGAGGCCTCTTATTATGCCAGGCCATCTTCGTATCGTGCTTATTAGTGGTGATGACACTTAGATATCCACATACCTGTCATACTTTTACCTGCTCGCATAGCAGTTGCTGTAGTTTAAGGAAGTTAGCTCGTCAAGGTTACCTAGAGAGCTGGGAGTTCTTTTGACTCCACACTCTGTTTCCATTCACATTCCAGAATGTTAGAAATCCTTTACTGTTACACAGTGTTCTGAAGATGATGTTAACTACACTGTTGTTGAGATCCGATCAAAACTATAATGAGGCAGTCAGTGCTCCAGGTGAACTTCATCTGTTCCTTTTGTTGCCAGTGTAGCTGCGGGCCCTTAATGTCAACTGCTAAGAGACATGAGAAGATCTTTATCATCTAATAAGGGAAGTAAGTCACAGAATCAGTGGCAATGTATTTAACTTAAGCAGTAGAGCACAGTGGCTAAAAATGTGAGCTGTAGGCAGGCGGTGTTCACAGTTCAGCTCCACCACTTACTTAGCTTTGAAGAGCAAGTCACTTTGCTCTTCAAAGCATTAGTGTTCTCATCTATAAAGAAGACTTAACCATGCCTGTCTTGTATGGGTGTAGAAATTAAATGAAACGATCAGTAAATGTCTTACAATAATCTCGCATACAGTAAGTGTCGAATAAACGGTAGCTTCATATTTTATGATACACATGTATATTATCCATTTTGTGAATAAGTTTTCACTGGAAGTGTGGGCTAATTTAAGTGTAATGTTAAACAGTCAAACAGTCAGAATTAAAAGCTTGCAGTCTACTTATACACAGACAGTAATTCCAAACCCATTGTCCGTTTTTTTTTTTAAAGATTTATTTATTTATGCATACAGACTCGGGTACAGGCCAGAGGTGCAGGGGCAGCGAGAGGCTTCACCAGAGACAGAGTGGGGAGCAGAACAGGCAGATTGATGAAGTCCACTGCTGAGGGGAGCAGCGGGCGGGCCAGGAGAGGTCTGCTACGCCCTGTGGTCCCCTCCGGGGCAGGCGGGGAATTGAACTCATGCGGAAGTGGCTTTAGCTTCTCAGTGTTGTGCTTTAACCTGCTGTGCCACCAGGGAGGGCCAGGCCATTTTTTTTTTTAGATTTATTTATTCATACAGAACTGGGGTATAGGCCAGAGGTGCAGGGGGGTAAGAGGATTCATCAGAGGCAGAGTGGGGAGCAGAACAGGCAGATCGACGAAGTTACACTGCTGAGGGGAGCAGCGGGCAGATCAGGAGAGGTCTGCCGTGCCATTAGGTCACCTCCAGGGCCAGGGATCAAACTCGCACTGAAGTGGCTGCGGCTAGCTTGCAGTGCGGCGTCCTAACCCATTGTGCCACTAGGGAGGGCCTGGCCACCTTTTAAAATGTTTCATGCTATTGCTCTTCTCTAATAGCCTCAGTAATCAAAGTTGAATATCCAGTCGTTACAGAAGTTCTTCCCTCCCACCCCAGTTCTTCCTCTGGGAGAGCACCCCCTGACATCTTCCTCTCTGTAGTGGCACAGGACCGCCACTACCCAGGAGACAGATGGCTTCCAGGTGAAGCGGCCAGGAGATGTGAACGTACGGTGTACTGTCCTGCTGATGCTGGATTACCAGGTAATCTCTGGTTCCGCAAGGGGATGCGACATTCACAGCTACGTCGCATCAGCAGCCTCACATTAAAAGGTTTAAATGTAGTGTGGATAATTTGCCACCAGATTTTAAATATTCTAAATGTAGGGGTAGGATCTTAGTCATCCTTGAGTTCCTCCTAGTACTTTTCTGACCCAGAAAAAAGCACTATAGTACTGCAGCTTGGCTGCCTGGTCATGCTAAGCACCCCAAATGGACATAGACTGAGGTCGCTAGCTTCACCTCTATAATCTTTGGTTCTCTGCAGCCTCCCCAGTTTAAATTAGACCCTCGCCTAGCCCGGCTCTTGGGTATCCATACTCAGACCCGTCCAGTGATCATCCAAGCACTGTGGCAATATATTAAGACACATAAGCTCCAGGACCCTCATGAGCGGGAGTTTGTCATCTGTGACAAGTACCTCCAGCAGGTAAGAAAAGGACCCATTTTTTGCTAGAGTCCGATGAAGGACTAGTTGTGCTCAAAATGCCAGTTTCTTAGCTGCTTCTCTTTTCTGCAGATCTTTGAGTCTCAGCGTATGAAGTTTTCAGAGATCCCGCAACGGCTCCACGCCTTGCTCATGCCACCGGAACCCATCATCATTAACCATGTCATCAGGTAAACGTGTGTGGGACAGAGTGCAGTGCTGGAGCTCAACTTGCAGGAGCCAACTGTCAGATTTGCAGGAGTTTTGCAGACAAATTATTGAACACAGATATTATTTAAAATTAAGTTATAGAAACTTGCAAATCAATAATATCACATTGAAAATGAAGGTAATATGCACGCAAAACTCATTCCCTAACTATTTTACAGGTGTTTGTTTTTTGAGTTACTTCCGCCTATTGCGACTGTGTGGCAGAGATGCTACTTAATGACGTGTTATAGTACATACCTCCCCAAGCCTCCAACAGTGACATCATGTTGGCAGCTTGAAATCAGCTTTGTTGGAAATTGGCAAATGCTTCAAATCAGAGCTTTTTTCCTTTCCTCCTTTGAAGGCAGTTGTTAACCATCTTTTGTACCAGCAGTGGGCCACCACCTGTTCTTTGGATGTTAGGACTTTGCAGTCTGAGGCTCCAAATCCATTCCCTTCAACTGTTTTGTACAGAAGCTGGGTGAAAGAGGCAGATTGGAATGAAGGAGGGCACTTACTTCTCAAAGCTGCATGTTTCTGTGGTGGGATATAGTCTCTGCCTCCTTTCCCCTACTCTGTACAACTCCAAAAAGACCATTTCTTTAGATCCTGAACTGTCATCCAGCTAGTCATAACTCCTACCATTTATGTAGTAGGCCATGTGAAACTGGTCTGTGCTGTACTCCTGTGCATAAAACTTAATCCTTTTTTTTTTTTTTTTTTAAAACAGAAAAGATAGATTGGTTGAAATACCCTGCAAGGGAGCAGGGGATATCTTCTAAATTAAGCCTTTTTTTTTTTTAATCTTTCCATTTTGTGTAGTATGTTTTCTTTTTTGGGGAGGTGTGTCACCTTTTAACAGGGAGATAGATGAGCTCATTAATCGTGGTTTCCAGTAGGGAAGCAGAAACTCTTCATTGGTTATTTTTTGCACCCTTTAAGTTTTTACCATTAACTTAAAAAAACAACAACTCAACTTTCTTGAGGTTTCTATACAGTGGATCACATCCATTTAAAGTATAACTTGACTGGGTCCTCCCTGGTGGTGCAGCGGGTTAGGATGCAGCACTGCAGGCTAGCCGCAGCTGTTTCAGTGCAAGTTCGATTCTTGGCCCCTGTGGTGACCCATATGGCACAGCAGACCTCTCCTGGCCTGCTCGCTGCTCGCCTCAGCAGTGTACTTCATCAGTCTGCCTGTTCTGCCCACTTTGTCTCTGGTGAATCCTCTCGCCACCTCTGTGCCCCTGACCTATACTCCAGTTCTGTATGCATAAATAAATAAATCTTTTTAAACAATTACTGAAGTACACTTGATGACTTTCAGCAAATGTATATATCACTTAGCCGTCAGCAAAGGAAGATAACAAACCTCTCTGTCACACCCAGAAGTTCTCTTGTGCCCTGTTGGAACCAACCCCTTTCTCTTCATTCTGGGTCAAGTTTTGACCCTGTAATTAAATCTGAGAGGACAAGCCTTTCACCAGGCCTTTTTGGTCTCCTCTCCAGTGTTGACCCGAATGATCAGAAAAAGACGGCTTGTTATGACATCGATGTGGAAGTGGATGATACCTTGAAGACTCAGATGAATTCTTTTCTGCTTTCTACTGCCAGCCAGCAGGAGATTGCTACTCTGGACAACAAGGTAAGGGCCTCTGCCCTAGTAGTTCGGCTATTACTAACCTTCTAACACAGTTTCTAGGCTGCCTTTTGACTACGGTATTGATTCAAAATATATTGACAGCTGGTGTGTGCCAAGTACTGTGCTTGGCGCTCACTGGAACCAGAAATACATGAGTTCTGATTCTGGCCATAACCTTTTGAAAATATTGAGCCTTAGTAGCTCACCTGTGAAATAAGAACTAAAATAGATCTGTACTCTAGTTCTATTTTTATAAGGTTGCTATGAGGATTAAATGAGATACTCTGTAAAGGTAAGCCACTGTACCTGGCACATTCACCATGGTAATGGCTGGGCCTATTGTTTCTGTGATCATAAACATCAAACTCAGTCCATTTGTGTTAATCCAGAAGTGCTCTCAGAGCACGACAGGGAACATTTAGTTGGGAGATTTGATGCCCCAACTAAATCTTGAAGAAGAAAGTGGGAGTTAAAAAAAAAAAAGGGAGAAAGAAGAGTGGTTAGGGGTGTGGGAGGTGGAAGACCCAGAGGAGGAGAGGGGATGTAAATATACGCTGATGAGAGAGGTCAGTCTGGCGTGTCCAAGAAGTGCAGGTTGTTTGGCGTGCTAGATAGTTTAAGGTGCATGGCAAGTTTGGGGAAAGGAAACTGAATAGGAAAGCAAGAGCCTAATCATGAAAATTCCATGCTGGGAAAATTGGTTTGTGCTTCATTCTTAAGCTTGGAGCACTGATGCTATTTACACTTAGAACGATGGCTGGCACGACTGTGGAAAGAGTCGTAAGGGGCAGATTTGGGGCCAGGAAGCCAAGTTAGGCTGATACAGCAGTACCTGTAGGATACATGGCCTTAATGGTACTGGTAGTGAGAAGGGGAATACCTAGACCTGAGGGGTGTCAAAGAGGAATGGAAGGGATGTAGATGCTAGTTTGATGGGCACTGGGATACGGTGAGATGGAGGAGGAGGCATTATGTATCCAACTTGGGGGGTGGTAGAACTGGGAGGAGAAGCACATGTCAGGGGACAGGTGATGGATTTAGTTTTGGAGAGTTTAAGGTACCTTGAGATGTCAAGCACATAGGTTGCAGTTTGCAGAATGAATCTGGTCTGCAGATTGGGAGTTGGCTAACTTGTCGGTGGTAACGGAGGACATACAGGGTGGTGACATTGCCAGAAAGAGAAGGGGGCAGAGGACAAAATCCAGAAGGCATGGCCTTCGAGGCAGCTCTCTATCATGTCTTTTCTGTGAGAACATTGGAACCCATTGTGATACGGATTCAGCACGATGTGGGTGTGGCTTCACCCACAGTGGGCACTGTGTAAACTAAAGGAAAACCTGCCCTGTCTAGGAACATGGGGACGAGACACGGCCTGCTGACAGAACGCCCTGCGCCGGCGCAGTCACAGGCAGGCAGTAGTGTCACTGCTGAGCAGCCCCTGCGGGTCGGAAGTAGCCCCTGAAGATGTCAGACACCGTCTGCCACCTTCTGCTTTGCCCCAATTTGAAAATGTTAAGAGTTGCTTTCTCTCTTACAGATCCATGAGACAATAGAAACCATCAATCAGCTGAAGACCCAGCGGGAGTTCATGCTGAGCTTTGCCAGAGACCCTCAGGGTTTCATCAACGACTGGCTTCAGTCTCAGTGCCGTGACCTCAAGGTAAAGGACCTAGGGAGGGGCAAGGGACCCCGGTCAGCGTCAGCGAGGCGGACAGTTGCTTTGTTTCTGTGTTACCTAGTAAAAGAGCCAGAGGAGAGAAGGCCCGTTTCTCTTTAGCACATTCTGGGTCCACTTTACAACTTATTAGGGAACCACCCGGGGTTTAGCCAGCAGTCACCGGGTGCTGTCCCTGCATGGCACTGTGGATTGTGGGGGCGGGGGAGGGGGTGACATCACTTGATCTCTGCCTTCAGAGCAGCTTGGAGGGCCTAGCTCTAGTACGATTTGAAAAGTAGTAAACCAGGCGCCTCGCTGGCGGCACAGGGATTAGTCTCAGCACTGTCAAGCTGCCGCCAGTCACTGCAGCATGAGTTTGATCCCCGGCCAGGGAGCGACCCCCATGGTGCAGCAGACCTCTCCTGTCTTGCCCACTGTTCCCCTCCTCAGCAGTGTATTTCAGTCCATCTGCCTGTTCTGCTCTCCACTCTGTCTCTGATGAATCCTCTCAGCTTCTGTACCTCTGACCTACACCCCAGTTCTTGTGTGTATGAATAAATAAAAGCTTTAAAAAAAAAAAAAGAAATGAGCCATGTTAGGTCACTTTTGGAACTCACCAGTTCCAATCAGGTCATTCATAGAAGGGAGAGGGCTGAGGCTAGAATAGCTGGGGGAGTCTTTCTGGAAAATTAGAGATATAAGGTATTTCCCAGAGAGGGCAGCACCATAAGCTCAGTCAAATAGATAGGAAAGAGCACAAAATAGATGAAAATGCCCTCTGCTCTCAACTCTCTGCGGTAGCCGTGACTGCAGTACATAGGGAGGCTGAGCAGTAGGGCCAGGGCAGCCTGCCCAGGTGGACCCCGAACAGGTGGGACTAACTACCAGCTGGTGACTGGAGTTTGCCAGGACTGCCGCTATAAAGTTCCATAAGCTAGGCAGTTTAAACAACAGCAATTAATTGGATCCCTGTTTTGGAGGCAGAAATCTGAAATCCAGCAGCAGGGATTGGATCCGTCCCAGGGCTGAGGGAGAATTTCCAAGCCCCTCTCCTCGCTTCTCATGGCCTCAGGCCTTCCTTGGATTGTGGACGGCATTCTCTGTCTGGAGTGCCGTCCCTCCATGCACCGTTCTGTGTCTGTGCCCACGTTACCTCTCTTTCTGAGGACACCATCTTCTGTTGGGTTAGGTCCACCCTCGTGACCTTGTCTTAAGCTGGTGATCTGTGCAGATCTGTTTCTAAGGAAGTTCAGGTTGATGTGCGCGGGGTCTCGGGGGCTGACACCTTTTGGAGGCAAGAGGGTCCAGTCGCAGGTGTGAAGGAAGAAAATAATCTGTCCCTCTCTTCCCCCTCCTGTCTGCCTCAGACCATGACAGATGTGGTGGGTAACCCCGAGGAAGAGCGCCGAGCTGAGTTCTACTTCCAGCCTTGGGCTCAGGAGGCCGTGTGCCGATACTTCTACTCCAAGGTGAGCGCTTGGGTGCACAAGGGAAACTGATAGAGGGCAAAGGGCCTGCACCCCTGACAGCGTCAGTGATATTAGATACCAGTTTTCAATGTATCTCATTTCCCACTTCCACAATTTTCTCTTTAGGTGCAGCAGAGACGACAAGAATTAGAACAAGCCCTGGGAATCCGAAACACATAGGGCCTCTCCCACAGCCCTGATTTGGCTGCGTCGTTTCTTTATTGGGGCCCGGGCTGCGTGCCTCCCAGCACCTGCCTTGGTCTTGCTTGGGGCCTTTCAGGGGATGCTGTTCGTTGAAGGACAACTCCGGAATGAAGAGGGTCTCACATTTCTGTCACCCTCTCCCCCATCCCGTCCCTTCTTGCCCCCAGCTTCCCTTTGCCCACAGAGCCCCTGTGCCTCTCCCTCCCTGGGCTGCATGGGCCTCTAGATAGTGGTAGAGAGAACCTGTAGTGGTGATCCGTGCTCAGAATGGATTGGGCCTGAGGCCAAGTGGTCTTCAGGGGCCAGCTACACTGATCGGGCCCGCTGAGACCCAGAAGTTGGGAGTTTAGCCCCTTTCAGGCCCGGGGGCTCTCTATAAGCTAACTGACCTTGGCTCGCCTGATGACAGAACCCACTTTCCTTCCTTCCCTCCACAGGTTTGGAGCACGCTCCCTCACTTGTTGCCCTCAGCACTAAAGGATCCCTGGTGCTTGGGCACCACTGAGCCCAGGTCATTCGCAGCCCTGACTGGCCCGCTGTCTCAGTGCTCTTACTCCCTGATAGGGGCCACATCAGTATTGGAGTTTGTTCTGTGTTGCTCCCTCCCAGCACGCTCTATAGCTGCTCTTCTTAGGATTCCCTCCGGTCTGTTCTCACCCTGGGCATTTGGGTGGGGGAATCTAGCCTTTCCTTGTCTGAGCCCCAGGGATCTAACCTGGGGTACCATTGTTGCCAGTGGAGGCTGTTTCTTTCTGCTATTGCTTGGAGGTATGACTCATTCATTCGCTCCACCCTGTCTCCCCCACCTCTTCATGGAGAAACAGGCCTAAAATCAAACGGGTAAAAGCCCTGGGCCAGCCCTGTCTTCCTGTCCCTTGCCTGCCCAGTTATCACCCACCGGTGACTTCTAGGGCACTGAGGAGTGAAAGCGCCTAGGGCTGGAGTGTAGCTCTGAGTTGGGTTTGTGATTCTTCCTCTCCTTGCCTCACAGGATTGTGACTCCCTAGCCCCTGCCCTCAAAGCTTCAGACCCCTCAGGTAGCAGCAGAACCTTGGGATCTGGGCCCCTTGCAAGGGAGATGGTTTTGCATCTTGCCAGGAGAGCCTCAGATCCTTCCAGGTTATGTCACCCCCGAGTTAGCATATCCCAGGCTCGCAGACTCAACACAGCAGGGTGGGAGACAGCTGGGTGCAGAGTGGGGTTTCCGTTCAGCATGGGCTCTAAACCCACAGAACTGACAATGCCCCTGCTTCCCCACCCCTCCTCAGGCTCCTGCGAGCACATCCCCAGCCCTGTATCCCTCCCTGTTCCAGACTGGGGCTGGCAGATTTCTCCCCATCTCCCCCTTCCTGTCACTGCCCCTCCCCTCCCTGAAAGCTTCTCCCCGCAGTGACACTGGGCAGCCTCTGTCCATGGGGCTGGAGCCATGAGAAGGGAGCTTAGCACTCCTGCAGTGTCCTGTTGAAGATAACTGTTTTTATTAACTGAATTTTTTTTTTCATGGACCAAATTTTTTTTGTACTGTCCCCTTATCTATGTCACCCAGTTTTAATAAAAGAATCTTCTGAAGGATGGGTCCCCCATGACAGGGGGAGCGCTCTTCCCTGGCTTTCTCCTCTGATCCCTTCGGCCGTGCTCACAGTCCTCATTTCATGTGGCAGATATTTAGTGAGCATTGTGGTGTGTCAGTGTGGTGCCAGGTGCAGTTCTCACTTCAGAGCTGTTCAGTCAACCCCACTTGTCTGTCAACATGGTGGACCTGGTCCGTGTTGCTGGCATCTTGGAATCTCGTCCCCAGCTCCGGTGAGGAGGGTATTAGGAAGGAAGCCAGCGGCACTGCCATCTCTGCTGTCATCCTGAGCACTGCAGGCAATGTGCTGCCTTGGGGCACGGGCTTCCTGTGCTGGGTTCCACCTCTCCTGGGCTCCCGTCTAGACGTTGGCTAGGGCTTGCGTGACTAAAGACATCTTTGTTCTCTGTGCCTGCCATTCTTCTAAGGTTCCAATTTCAGTGCCCTCAGATTTTTGTTCTTAAGAACAGAGTGGACATGCTGTTAGACACTGAATGCACAACCCCTAGTTGGCAGGGTTTGCGTTCCCATTGGCAGGAGCATGACGTTCTGCAGTTTACATTGTGCCGTGCTGCGTCCCACTCGGTGGCTCGGTCCTGTCCTGTGAGCTGGCTTGGTTCTCCTCCAGAGGGGGCTCAGGACACAGGGCTTCCACATGCTGAAGTTGGAGTTTGACACTTGGCCTTTTGCCTCCATGGATGAGACAGGTGCCGCCTGGGTAGTCAAGCACTTCAAGGATATGAGCACTCCAGTGTGGAACTCGGAGGCTGAACGGAGAAAAAAGCCATCTCAACAAGAGGACATTGAAATGGCATCTGCTTTTCCTGAGGTTGACTTCATGCATAATGAATAGAGGCTGCTGAACCTCTATTAAGTTCAAGCAAATCTACAGTTGGCTCTTGGGAAAGGGCTCCTGGTGGCACAGATAACCTGTGACTAGCCAACCCTGCCGGGGCCTGCACACTGCTCCTGTGACATGAGTAAATTCTTTGTCTCCACACTAATTGTAGGTGCAAAGTGGGGTGGACATATTTAGGGGGAAAGTAGAGGGTTATTTTATGTAAATTCATTTATACTTTAGGGTTGCCATATGCCCCAGGGACAGAGGCGTCCTTTCTGTCCCCTCACCTCAATGCTCCCCACTGGCTGCCTGACGCTGGTGCCTGTCTCAGTGCCAGTCATCTGTGGGGCTGGCTTTGTCGTGCAGCTTTCTTAAGCGTAACTACTGATTCCATGTGTGTTGCTCTGTGGGGTCTCCCTCGGAGAGGGATGGGCTTTTCCTGAACAATCCCTAGAACTTAGAAAACCAGTTCTCAGTCTCGACCTTCCGCCCACTTAACCCTTACCCAGTGGTTGCATACAGACTCCCTTCTGGCCCAGTGCTTATCACTAGTATGGGTCAGCAGTGGCCCAGGGGAATAGAAACACCCACTTAGTCCCCAGCCAAGCCAGGAGGTCAGTGTGTGTACACAGCATTGCCTGTGCTCTGGGCCAAGGTGCACAGACAGCGAGAATGCTAGGGAGCTCTTGCCTCACTTTCCAGTCTAGAAACCAGGTCCCCCCACACCCCCCTTAGTCAAACATGGCTGTGGGCAGTGTGGAGCTGCTGAATGTGGGCCTTCCACTCCTCCCTACTCAGTCGCCTCAGACCACGAAGTTCCCCAAAGGTCACAGCTGCCTTGATTGCTGCTTCCTTTCCCCTTTCAGGCTTCCCCGAGAAACCACCTGGGGTGGTAGCTTGGAAACTGAGGAAGAACTAAAGAAACCTCAAAGCCTCTGAAGGACCACTCTCTTCTCTCCTGTCCTCTTTATCCTTAAGCCCGTAGTTTGCAGAAGGGCAATTGAAGGCCACTGGGCATCTGAGCCTCTTAACAGTGACCTTCTCCACCCTACCCTGAAGGACACTCAGGTGGGATCCTTTATGGTGAGGAGCCCACCAAGGCGGCCCTGAGGTGCCGGCTCAGGCCCGGCTTCCACTCTTATCCTCCGGCTGAGCTGCCCCCACTGGTCTCTCACTTGGTCTTTAGCAGCAGACCCTACACTCACTCCCTCGCCGGCCACAGCCCTGCTGTGGAGCTTGTGTAGGGCCAGTGCCCTCGTCCCTGTTGCTGCTATCGAGCCAACCTATAGAACAGTTCTGGGGGACAACGCAGGGCGACTCCTACTTTTGAAAAGAAAGCATTCCTGTATCTGCTTGAGTGCGGGGGACAGGGGGTCAAGGAGACTGGCCACTCGGTCCTCATCTTAGCAGACCTCAAAATGCAACCACGGCCGGGGTACGGTGGGCGGGCAGGAAGCTGTAGAGACGAAAGGAAGAGGGGCGCGACAGCCTCCAGCAGTAAACCTGAGCGGGAAGGCAGGACCCCGTCTCTGCGCCCATCCCGGCTCCCCACCTGCGTCTCCTCTCGCGGCACCGCCTGGCTCCGCGGCGCCGCCTCCCACCCACCCCGGGGCGGGGCTTGGCTGCACCCACGTGTGGTGGAGTTAAAAACCCCGGCGGCCGGCGCTGGGGAGCGTGGCACTGAGCCGGTTGCGGCTGGGAAGCGGCACCATGGCCGGCAAGCGAGTTTGCATTGTGGGCTCTGGCAACTGGTAAGCAGCGCTGTCAAGAGGCTGTGGGGGACAGGGGCGCCCCCCCACGTACGCGGGGAGGCTCGGTGGGCTGCAGGGAGACGGCGGCAGGACTCACCCTCCGTGAGTGCCGTTCTACGCCGCGGGTGTCACTGGAGTCCAGCCCCTCAGGACCAGCGGAGCCGGACCTCCCCGCCCCGGCCCCGGGCCCCGCAGCTCAGGCAGCTGCACCTGTTCACCACCGAGCGAGCGCTGCCCCACAGCTGCTCGGGTTTGAGGGCCGGGGAGGAGATCAGAAGGCTGGTCCCCTTCTCCAGCAGCCAAGTGTGAGGTTGGACAAATTGTCATGGGGATGCTGTGCTGAGGAAGGTGGCAAATAAATTATCTGGTGATACTGAGGTGGAGCCCTGAGCCCTCCCGCTGCCGGCCTCTCTTCACAGTCCCATTCCACCACTTTGTGTGCTCCCCTCCTGTCAGGGGCTCAGCCATTGCCAAGATCGTGGGCAGCAATGCAGCCCAGCTGACACGCTTTGACCCACGGGTGACCATGTGGGTATTTGAGGAGGATGTCGGGGGCAGAAAGCTGACGGAGATCATCAACACACAACACGAAAACGTCAAGTACCTGCCAGGGCACAAGCTGCCTCCCAACGTGGTGAGCCCCAACACCCTGCAAGGCAGGGAGAGGGAGGTGAAGAGGTTGCCACCTACTGAGGGAGGCATTTCAGGGGCCACTTGGACTTAGGGTGCACCGCAGGAGGGCTCCTGCAGGACAGGGTGACCTGATACGGCCACCAAACTGCTCCCACCACACTCTTCTCTTGGGCACTTCCTGGGGCTGAGGAAAACCTGACTGCACCCCCTACTTGTGGGCTGCCGGACAGCCAAGGCCGTTTGGGGGTGGGGGGGAGGACAAGGAAGCTGGTCTCTGTGGCAACCAAAGGCAGGTTCTCCAGCTCCCAGATCTAGGGTCTGGGTAGTACCTGCCTGGGACTTTAATCCTGCTCCTCATTCACTGGGTTATTAGTAGACTTACATGCTGTTTCTTGGACTCAGTTCTTTGGTTGAGTCCATGTGACTTGCTCCCACCTGGACAGGGGAGCAGGAAGATAGCAGGAAATTGGGGCTTCACTTCCCAGTTGGGGACCTTAAGGAGTAGGGTGATGAAATCTTGGCCTCTTTCTCCTGCCAAGCCCAGGCTTCTTTTGGCCTCTCTCACTGTCCCACAGCCAAGGGCTAGGAGGCTGCAAGGAAGAGGTTTCCAGGAGTCCTCCAGAGCCCAGGGCAACTGGAGCTGGGGGGAGGGCCTGGAGTGTCTTATTCCTCCACGTTCAGCCTGCCAGACTCAGTCCCAAACAGCCCTTCTTACCCCCCCCCCCAACCAGACTCACTCTGGCTCCAAGACCACCTGAGTGGGGGTCCACAGGGGCTAGAAGTTTGTCAGGCCCACGAGCACTGGCCACCCCACAGGTGGCGGTCCCAGATGTGGTCCAGGCTGCAGCGGATGCTGACATCCTGGTCTTTGTGGTGCCCCATCAGTTCATCGGCAAGATCTGTGATCAGCTCAAGGGCAACCTGAAGGCAGACACCATTGGTATCTCTCTAATCAAGGTGCCAGGGGCTTCTCCAAGTGGGGTGGGAGGCGGCCACTGTAATGGGGCTGCGGGGAGGGGGGGTGAAGTGAGGAGCACAGGAAATGGTAGAAGTAGACTAAGTTTTATGGGGAGAGGAGTTAGCTTTGGGGACCCTAGAGGGTCATTCAGATACTGGGGGCTTTGGGGAGGTTTGGGGCATGGCTAGGAGGCATCTCTGGGAGTTTGGGCGGTACGCAGGGCTGCCTGGGGGTTATGACAGCAAGTTGGCTTAAAGAGTGTGAAAAGATAGTTTGGAGCTATGGCCAAGATGGAAGTTGGTTTGGAGGACCAGGAGGGACTGTTTAGGGGTGTGGAGGGTAAGGTGCTTTGGATAGGTGGGTTGAGTGTACACAGGAGTGGAGTTCTCAGATGGAGTTGTCTTCACACTCTCTCTACTCACAGCAGGCTCTGCCTGGTGGGAATGGGCAGGACCCTGGGGGAGGGACACTGATGGACGGTGCCTTTGGAAGGTGCAGCATTTCTGGGTGGGAAGCCCCTTAGGCATAAAGGGCACAGGCTTGAGCTCCATCCTGTGCCCAGGGGGTGGATGAGGGCCCCAATGGGCTGAAGCTCATCTCTGAGGTGATTGGGGAACGCCTTGGCATCCCTATGAGTGTGCTGATGGGAGCCAACATTGCCAGCGAGGTGGCTGATGAGAAGTTCTGTGAAACAACCATTGGTGAGTACCCCACCACCCAGTGCAGCTCTGATTACATCCCACCCCCACATTACCCCCTGCCCGCCCAACATACACTTTTTGCCATCTTCTTCCCACAAGGCAGGCAAGGAACAAAACCCAAGCATCTGAGACAAGGGAAGCTTGGGACACCCCATGGGAAAGGACTGCAGGTCCTGCTTAGGGAAGCTGTAGGAAGAACAGAGTCCCCCCACAACGCCTTGCCCCCTCCCCACTTTAGGCTGCAAGAACCAGGCTCAGGGACAGCTTCTGAAAGAGCTGATGCAGACGCCGAATTTCCGCATCACAGTGGTGCAAGAGGTGGACACAGTAGAGATCTGCGGGGCCTTAAAGGTGAAAAGGGCCCAGAGACAGCTGTGGGTGGGAAGTTTCTGGAGCAGGGCCTGGTTTAGCTCTTCCAGATTGCTCCTCTCCCCCACCAAGGGGGAGAAAGACCAAGGCCCCCATACATAGGAAGAACTGCACAAGTAAGGCCAAGGTCTGCTGATGAATGACCATCAGATAATGGAACGACAGCCCTCAACTCCTTGTGGGATATCTGTCTCCCTGATTCCAGGGGCTAGTGCAGGGGAACCCAGGCTGGTTGGAGACGAGGCATCCAGGCACCCTGCGAGCTAGCCTGGAAAGACCATCGGGGATCTAGAACAGGGATAGTCATGGGTGGTGAGGGGCCAGCCAGGTGGACAGAAGGGTAGTTTTCAGGAGATGTCCTCAAGGACGGAGTGTGGATGGGGCTGGGCTGGGAAGCCGGGAAGCACAAGCCCACAAAGGTCAAACACCCAGACGGTGAAGGTAGCTAAGGAGCATGCCCACTACACTTGGCTGCCTCAGCGGCACCTCATGGCCGATGGAGAGAGGACGGGGTAGGTGACGAGGACTAAGGTGGTGCCTGCAGGGAGTGATTCTTTCCTACTCCCCAAAGAATATAGTGGCCGTAGGCGCTGGCTTCTGTGACGGGCTGGGCTTCGGTGACAACACCAAGGCGGCAGTGATCCGACTGGGGCTCATGGAGATGATCGCCTTTGCCAAGCTCTTCTGCAGTGGCCCCGTGTCCTCTGCAACCTTCCTGGAGAGCTGCGGCGTCGCTGACCTCATCACCACCTGCTATGGAGGGCGGAACCGCAAAGTGGCCGAGGCCTTCGCGAAAACAGGAAAGGTGGGCCCTGGAGGGAATGAGGGTGGGACCTGGAGGCCTGAAGGTAGAGGAACTTCGTCGGGCATCTGCGAAGCACAAATACTAAGATGGTTGTGGTCACGCCCAGCCTTTCTTTTCTCTGGAAACCCCACCTTCCTATGAGTCCCAGAGTCTCCTTGTCACACCATGTCTCCCATTTCCATTGCCCATCCTGTTTTCTTCACAGTCCATTGAGCAGCTGGAGAAAGAGATGCTGAATGGGCAGAAATTGCAGGGGCCCCAGACAGCCCGGGAGCTACACAGCATCCTCCAGCACAAGGGTCTGGTAGACAAGTAAGTGTCTGCCTCAGCCCACCTGGTTGAGGTAACAACAGCCAGAAGCCCTCTCCCCATTTATTACCTTCCTAAACCTCCCACAACCTGTGAAGTGGTCAAGAAGGGTAGCATATGTGTATACAGAGCCTGGGGAGAGCCTGGTCGGCCTGCTGCTTCTAGCTAGCTGGAGACCTTTGCCCTCCTTCCACGCCAGTGCTCTTGAGGCCACGTTGCCTGGCCCCCTTGTGTGGTCTCCTTTTGCCCTCCCCTCCTTGTCCTCTGCAGTGGGGGCAGAGCTGTGGGGAAGCAGGAATAAGCTCACCTGATTATCCCGCCTCTGTCCATCACCCCCATTCAGAGCTGCTCCCATGATTCTATTCTTGCCTCCTAACTCCTATTCTTGGGTCTGAGGTTGGGGGTGCCCTCTGTCAAGTAAGGAGCACAGTGACAGTGTGGCAAAGGGGCTGTTAGTGTACCAGGGAATCCTAGAAGAGTATGAGACAGGTTCAGAAGCGCCGCTCATGGCAGATGGGGTAAAGTGTCCTGGTTAAGCGGTAACGGAGGCAACCGCCTAGAGTGAGCTCCTTCACCAAACTCATGACCGCATCATCTTTTCCACTGTGTCCTCTTGGCTCCACTCGACAGCTGCTGATACTGAGGCTCAGCGAGGCTAATTGTCTTTGCTCCAATGGAACAAACAATTCATGGTAGGGTAAGATCAATATGATAGGGAGCAGAACAATTAGCAACCTGATCTACAATCCGGGGCTAGGCAGTCCACATTCTCAGTAACTGGAAATCAAGTGCCTGGAGTCTGCCTGCAATGAAGGTGGGAGATTAGTGGAATAGACGGCTAGAATGTGGACGGGGAATGGAGCCTATGGGCTAAGCTGGGTATCTCCTGCCCTCTCTAGGTTCCCTCTGTTTATGGCTGTGTACAGAGTGTGCTACAAGGGCCAGCCTGTGGGTGAATTCATACACTGCCTGCAGAATCACCCAGAACATAAGTGAGCAGGGCCAGGGACCAGGCCAGCAAACTTCTTTGCCCCAACGGAGACGGGCGCTTGAGGGGCCTGGCCACTGATCTCCAAGAGTCCCCATGGAGCAGCCTCTTCTTAACTTTTCACTGGGGGACGGAAGGCTGAAGGACCAGCTACCTGTCTGGAAATCCTGAAACACCAAGAGACCTGCAGTTGCTTGCTATCACCGTCTCACCAGAAATGGAGTTGCCTTGTCCCTCTCCAGATGTGGGGTTTTCTCCTTCCTGTGGGAGGAGTTGAGTCAAATCCTAATACTGCTTTGGGTGTGTGTGAGCAGGGTGGGGTGAGAGGGAGGCAAAGTAAGGACTGCCCACTTAAGTAGACCAGGACCTCAGCCACCATGGGGACAGGGCAAGGGCTACCAGGGAGGGGCCTGGACTTTTGCACCGACATAGGCCCCAGGGATCCCTTTGCTCTGACCTCTGCCAGGCCCCACACAGCATCAATGGATCTCAGTGTTTGTTAACAAAATACAAAGATCTCAAACAACTGCCTTCTCCTAGCAACATGTGCGTCCTCAAAAACCTCTGGCCATCCCCTTCCCCCTCCCCCAGGCTGCCCTGGCACTAGAGTAGCTGCCAGGTTGGCATCTCTGGCCCTGGGGCTTGCCATTCTCCCCAGGGACTTCCTGGTTCCTAGTTCTCTGCCAGCTCCTCTTACTCTGCTTGACCTTTCAAAGTCTTCCCTTGCCCTCCCCACTAGCACCCTCCTAGGGGAGCAGGAACTTAATCTGCTGACAGAGCTGCACCTTTTCATAGCAGGCTCAGATCAGTCTGCTCCCTGTGACCTTTGTATTTGCCCATTTCCCTTGTGTGTGTGTGTGAGAGAGAGTGAGACAGAGAGAGAACTGGGTGCTTCCCCAGAATATCCCTGGCTTCAGCCTTTTCCTGCTCCCAAACCCTGTACCTCTTTCTCAGCTGCTCCCAGAGTGACCAAGGCAGCTAACCGGCACCAGCATGTAGAGCCCAAGGGGCCAGAAAATGACCCAGAGGGTGATTGTGGGTAGGTCCCATATTAGTGGATTCTGACATTGAAGCCAGTTCAACTCTGTAATCTGAAGGCCACCTCAGGAGGTACTGGCCTAGGGGTTAAGTCTCAGTGCTATCATGCTGTCACCCCTGAGTCTGATCCCCAGCCAGGGAGCTGACCCGCATGGCACAGCAGACCTCTCTCTCTTGTCTCACCTGCAATATACTTCAGTAGATCCTCACTCTCTGCTCCCCAATCTCTGGTGAATCCTTGCAGGCCCTGCACCTCTTGCCTACACCCCACTTCTTCCATGCATGCATAAATAAATCTTAAAGAAAAACAGGTACTGACTACATCAACACCTTGGAGTCAGAAAACTGGAGGAGGAAAAAGAATAAAAAGCTGCCTATCTCCTGGGGTTAGGAACGGGAGGAGGGAGAGTTGACTTTCTACTGGCCTGGCTCCAGGATGGATGGCAGCCTGGGCCTCTGGCTATAAATAGACACCAACGGCCTGTGAAGTCCCGTGGCTTCCAGCAGGGGTCTCAGCTTGCTGTGTGGCAGCACCTGGCACTCTCACTGGCTCTGTCTGGCCAGCAGACTTTCACCAGCCTGGGAGGGCGGCTCCTCCCAGCCAGCAGACCTAGAGAATCCACTGTCTCTCCAGGATGGGGCAACTCTCCGGGAGGGCTCGTCAGCCCAGGTGTGGTTGGGCTCAGGTGGAGGCACAGCCTAAATCTGGGCTGCCCGCGCGGGAGGTTAAGGGGGTGGCAGAAAGCAGCTCTTTCCCTAAAGCTGCAGCTCTGACTTCTTCAGATAGTAAAGACGTTGTGCCTATTTTCGTTCACAACTGACCGAATCAGATGCCTCTGATTCAAGCCTGTCTACCAAAAGGAAAAAAAAAAAGCTTTTTCTAGAAACTTTTTTTTTTAATTTAAAGTTTATTTTTACATCATTTTGCACATTTTTTTTTCATCTCCATTGTAATCCCCATGGGTTTCCCATCACCAAATCACCCCTGTGCCACCACCATAGTCCCGTGCATTTCCCTCCCTCCCACCCCCCCGTTCTAGAAACTTTTTTCTAAAAAACTTTTTCTAGAAAGGCATTGGAGAAGGCAGCTCAGTGACTGTCAGTGTGTGTGCTGTGGTCTATCACTGATATACGTTCACTCAGGCCGTAGACAAATTTAAAAGACAAGAACCCTCGATAATCCCGGTCACCCCAAGCTCCTCGCAGCTGTCCCTTCCCGGTGCTTCTTTGAGGCTTTATCACACCGTTTGCAAGGACGGAGGTGACATACCGGACAACAGTACTGGAGATCTGTCCCTCGTGCATACTCCGAAGCTAGGGCCAAACCTGCCGTGTCCCCGCGAGCCGGGTCTCGCGTGGCGGGTGGGTTCCTACCTGCGCTTGGCGGAAGCGCCAGCACCTGGGAGAGCGCAGTCTCAGCCTCTAGGGGGCGCGCGTCCACCTCCAGAAGGCTGACTCCGAAAGGCTCTACCTAGCTACAGGACGCGTCACCCGGCCGTAGGCTGAGGATTGGCCAGCTCTCTGACGCGAGAGACGGTCGTCTTTTCTCTCGTGACTGGAGAGTTTCTAAGCTCGGGTCACAAAAAGAGCCTCTCAATGAAGAATGACTACCACTCCCAGAATCCAACGGGCCTCTCCGAGAGGAAAGCTTGTCTGAGGACGCTGGTCCAGGACTGGCCCGGAAGCCGGAAGCCGGAAGTGGCGCGCGGCCCTCCGCGCTGCGGCCCGCCCAGGTGCCCGCCTCGGTGGGCGGGGTCGCGGGTGTAGCTCGCGCGGGCCCTGCCTTCGCGTTGGGAGCCGAATCCTAGCGCGTGAGGGGAGCGAGCGGGAGGTGACAGAGTGGCTGTCCTAGCCAATAGCGCCTCAGCGTCCAGAGTTGTTCCCGGGCCGCTCCTCTCACGTGTCTGCTCCTGGGGCCTGTGTCCCGGCGCCGGGAAGTTGCGCGACCGCGGTGGTAAGACGTGCGCGGACACCTCGACCGGGCGGACCGGTGCGGCACCAGGTACGCCCTCCTCCCCCAGGTGCGCCCTCCGGGGGTGGCTGTGGCTTGCGGCGCCCTCCCAAGTCCCGTCCTGGCCGTGCCCTTGAGTCGCCGGCCATACTCTGCGCCGCCGACCGCGAGCTGGCTCCTGGCGGCCGTGGGCTCCTTCACGCCTGACTGGCGCCGGCGTCCGGCCCTACACGCCTGAACCTCCCTGCCTCGTAGTCCGCGGTGCAGCTTTCCAGAGCACCCTGGGTGCTGTCACCCCCCCCAGCTCCACCCTTTGCTGCTTTAAACCCGGGAATGCGGCTCCCCTCACCCCCCGCTTGCGTAAAACTGCTCGCCCCTATAAGAAGACACCTTCTCTGCTTTTTTTTTTTGAGCGCTTCTTTATCTGTTAACTCTCCTATCACCTCGACTGGTCACTTGCCACCTTCTCAGCAAGTCAGGGGTACATAGCTAATCTCCATCAGACAGCCATAGGCTCCATTAAGTCTGCGGCCTTCTCAGCTCCAGTGAAAGAGATAAATGAGTAAATCTAAGCTGAGGGAGTGAGTTGTCCTGAGGAGAAACCTGAGCCTTAATGATTCTTCCCATTCCCCCCCCCACCCCCCCGTTTTGCTGAAACCTGATGTATAACAACCCTCCCCACCCAACTTTGTGCTTTTTTTTTTTTTT